AAAACCGTCTCTATAAAAAACAGCAGATACTGCCTGTACTAGTGCTAGCCTGATGGTAACTAAAGTTTTGGCCAAATGTTCAATGGCTGGACTTTGCCCTTGTAGGCCAAATATTGGTTTCTCATTGACGCAGAGGTTAAATCTGAAGGACGTACATGATATGTTGCAAGCATGGAACAGTACTGCAATGACTGAGAGGGATGATTGCAATGATTGATGAGGAAATGAGTTATTACTATCAGCTATCATTTTTATGATTATTTAGTGAATTGCGGCTGCAATCAGGCAGTGTTCTCTCAGCGGAATTGGCCTCGGCCTTAATCCAGAACCTGAACACATCGTTCCCTCTCCACGCCGTGGATTTCTCCGCAAAATTAACTGCATTCTTAAAATTACACGGGAGGCATCTTCTCAGTCCATCCTAGGAGAAATGATGCAGCTTTCTGCAGAGGCCCAGAGCTGGGAAAGCATCACTGTACTCCTCCGCACTACACTCCATAAACCCACCGCACCCGCCTGCCTGCCTCTTCACGCAGTTTTCCTCTCTGCCATAATCACTTCCAGCACTGAGACGGCTGCATTAAGGACCCTTAAGATGCTCTAAGATTGCATCCAGCCAGCCAGCCTGTGTCCTCGGTCACGCCAGGCATGTTTGTTTTACCATATTTTTTATTCCAAACTCCCGTCTGCACTGCTTCCTGTTTCCACGTGTCTTTTGTGGTCTGTCCTTGCTCTAGATACCTCTCTTTCTGAGCCGGGGTCCTCACCAGACCTCCACTGCCTCTCGCATCTGGGAGACAAACGTGAGCTGCTTCACACAGCGTCCGCCACACCGCATCAGTCGCCAGGGCGATGCTTCTTTGTGCAAATGCTGATGTCACACACGACTTGTGTGGAAAGCCTGACCGACGAATGGGTCCGCATTGTGTTGCAACGAGACTTGTGGTTGAAAGGACAAGCCGAGGAGTGGACTGCCCAATTATCCTACCGGCTCTGGTGCTGCGCCGCCTGGTATACAAGTCCTGGAGGGGAGTTAGAACAGTCCCTGTGGTGCGCTCAGCTAGTCCCACCACCCTCTGCAGGGCCATACGGCCCCGTGAAGAGCAGTTCCCATACCAGGCAGTGATGCATCCTGCCAGAATGCTCTCGATGGCACCAGAGTAGAAGGTTTTTAAAATCTTTTTGGCAGTCTGAATTTCTTTAACAGTCTGAGGTGATAGAGGTGCTGCCATGCCTTTTTCACCAGGGTGGTAGTGTGAGTGGTCCATGTCAGGCCCTCGGTGATGAGTACGCCGAGGTATCGAAAGCTGCTCACCCTCTCCGCTGGGGCACCGTTGATGGAGAGTGGGGTGTAGCTCCTCTGTCGCGTCTTGCAGAAGTCGACTAACAGCTCCTTTGTTTTGCTGACGTTAAGGGAGAGGCACTTGACCTGGCACCATTTTGTCAGGTCCTCCACCTCCTCCAGGTAGGCCTTCTCATTGTTGTTGGTGATCAGGCCCACCACCACAGTATCGTCCGCAAACTTTATGATGGTGTTAGAGCTACTCTTTGCCACACAGTCATGTGTGTACAAAGAATACAGCAGGGGACTGAGGACACAACCCTGAGGAGCACCGGTGTTGAGGGTGAGAGAGGTGGAAGTGAGGCTGCCCACCCTAACCACCTGTGGTCTACCAGTCAGGAAGTTTAGGATCCATTTGCACAGAGAGCTATGCAGTCCAAGGTCCAGAAGCTTACTGACCAGTAAGGGGGGGACTATAGTGTTAAATAGTGCTCATACATATATACTTGCAGAGTATATGCCAGTTAGTATATGAATACATAATATACTCATATTTGAGTATATACAGTATTAAGCTGGAACAATGTATGAAATATCTTGTATGTTTTGGCACATAGGTGCTATGAGGCATGTATTTGTTTCTCTTTTCTATCAGTTATGTGCTTATTTATGCTCTCTGTCAGTGAAATGACTTGCTTCCACTCTCTCTCCCTCTCAAATGCACTCTCACACACACACACACACACTCACGCACACATCCACACAGACACACATACACATTCTACAGCAATGTGTGCTTGAATACAGAAGCAGAAACGAGAGTACAGCCAAACATTTTCCTCATTAAGTAGGAAAGACAGAACGGGGAAATAAGTATGCTAAGTATGTGTAATGCTTTCCTTCCTGGTTGAGACTCTAGAGAACAGCACACTCCTCAGCCTTGATAACGCCTTTCACATGGGAACTCTTACTTCTCCTGCCGTACCTGCCTGCCGATATACATATTCTCCGTCAATTACTTCATCGAGCCTGAGAAATCTCAACACTTCCCACTTCAGAGATAAATTCAGACCGCGTGTGCAGGAGTTTTGCCAGCTCACTGTGCAGAGATCCTCATTTTCAATCCTCGGGATGCACCCGTCGGTGAAATCAATAACATTCTCTGCAAACAGGGCATCAGCTGACTTATTTTTCATTAACCTTGCCACTGAACAACTCATTATCCCAACTGCATTGACACATCTTTTTTTTAATGTAAGTGATTGCTTGGCTTGTGTTCCCTAACCCAATTTTACTAACCCATCTGTTAGAAATAAGCAGCTTTACACGCGCTGCTCAAAGTGCTTTTTAAATTCAGGAAGAGGTTTCAGTCAAGTGTCAAGACAAATGGGTGGTTTTTTTTCAAGTAAAACATAAGTGTTTCTTGGAACCAGTTGAACGCATTTTAATTAAGTAATCAAAGGTTGATGCCAGACAAAAAACTTGGACTCAAAAAACCAATAATTGTTTGACCCTCATCCATCATATCCATAAGGCAATTACCAGTCTTATTGAATCTAGCATGTATACTGTTCTGGGATCAGCCTGTGTGAAGTTTGTAATATAACCATGGCAACGGTTTGATGTTTTGTTTTGATGGTTTGGCTCTGCAAATGCTTGGCACATTCTTAACATTGGTACATAGAGTTATGGCTCTGAGAGACCACCCTTGTTTTTTTTTTAATTAGCTTATGTCTTCTTGTCTAGCAGCTTGACCCCTCAGGTATCAGGAAGTTCCTTCCAATCAATCCTGGCCACATTTTGTATGCAGTATTTCTGGTTCAGGCAGAATGGCCTCTGGATAAACATGACTGACAGCACAATGAGCGCATAGGCGTGTGTAGAGCGAAAACAGATTGCGCCGAACGAGCCTGTTTGGTATTCTGCCTCGGTGGCTGAGGGATCATGGGACAGTGTGAGGGTCATCTAGGAAACGTAGCCCGCAGCATGGCTGACACGGAGGAAATGTGAGTCAATCCGTGCATTAGGGGAAAAAATTCCCTCCAGCTTGCCGTGATGCAAAATTGAAGTGGATCCTCAAGAATAAAAAAATCTGTTCCAGATCACAGTGCTCTCCCTGGAGCATGTTTTCAGGGTCTGGGAGAAGACTAATCTTGACTGTACAATGGCTTGTTATGATCTTTTCCCCAGATCCATTGGGAGAGTGCATTTTTATTTATTTAATTTCTTTGTAATCCAATATAAGTTCTCCTTGCCTCCATTGTGTCTACTCTTTATCTCACTGTTTGCTTCTGTGTTCATTTTGGATGTGATTTGTCTATCGTAATAATAACTGACACTTAAAATTGTGAAGGAGCAGATTAGAATGCATGTCATATGAAAGAACAAAAAATGCAATTAAAATTCATATCTAGGTTGGCACCAATGCAAACAGTTTCTGCAGTGCAGACAGAGGTGTGCTAAGTGAGTTTGACATTTTTGGCAGGATAGGTTTTTTTTTCAGTTTCCCCATGCTCCGCTGCACTTTGTTTACGTAAATGTATAATGTAGTTGGGCACCGATCACAACATTTACCGGTGGAGTAACAGTTTCAGCACCCTCCCCCAGAGAGCAGACGGTGCCACTCATCCATCCCACTGCCTGGATGGACGCAAGCTTTAATCACCGAGTGCACTGTGTTCAGAGCAGGGCTCGTAACCGAAAGGTTTCTGGTTCGATTTCCCTCTGGGGCACTGCTGCTGCACCCTTGGGCAAGGTACTTAACCACCAACTGTCTCAGTAAATATATAGCTGTATAAATGGATAACATGTAAAAATTGTAGCCTGTGTAAGTCACTTTGGAGAAGAGCGTATGCTAAATGGCAATAATGTAATGTAATGTTCAGAGTTAGCGCTAAGGCGAAATCCGTTATTCCCGCGAGGTCACCACACACAGTGCCGATCGATCTCCGCCCGCCTGTGTGATCCGCGGTGATCTGTGGGGCTGCTCTGCCACGCTCATTTCTGCAGAGAAATCATACAGTCACCGTGAAGAAAGCAATCATTCCTCAATAGCGGCTCCTGTAGAAACAGCAATATTTCACACACAGGATGAGACACCCTTGTGATTGGTAACTGTGCTCGCGTGATGACAGAGTATATAGATTAGAAGATCTGAAAAGCCTGTGTTTGTGAGGATAGATTACTGCTGCAAACTTTGAAAGGTGCAAATGATTTCTCACATCCTGTGAGGGCTAGTCTTATCTCCTGTTGCTCCGATGACTTTCTGCGTGCCAGATGAAATGTCACGGATTGCTAGTATTGTCAGGGGACATTTTAGACACATTTAGAGACTCAGTCATGCTTTCCTGCCTTAAAGATCCATAAACCTCATCACTGATTGGTGAGAGATCAATGAAGACCAGTGGATTTTTATCTGATTGGCTGAAACATGGGAGGGTGGGGCAGGTATATGTGTTTTGCCAATGGGACCAATAGCTGTGAATGCTGACCCGTGGTACCCATAATGGTGGGAATGAAGGAGACGGACAGTGACCGTGTACCACAACAGCATGAGCACTTCTCATTCCCAGTCTTTACATTGCATTACATTATTGTCATTTAGCAGACACTCTTATCCAGAGCGACTTCGATAGGTTAGAGCTTTTACATGCCATCCATTTATATGGCTGGATATTTACTGAGGCAGTTGTGGGTTAGGTACAATACAAGGGTACAATGGCAGTGCCCCAGCAGGGAATTGAACCAGCAACCTTTTGGTTATGAACCCAGCTCCTAACCACTATGCTACATTGCCGCCCAGCCTTGCTAAAAGGCTCAGGATGTCTTGCAAGGTTGCCTGGCACAGAGTGTGTGTGGGGGTGGGAGAGGCACTAATCCAGCCTTTTGTTCCAGCCTTAATGCCCAGTCAGCGACCTGGCTTGATGCATAGGACAGAATGCCGTGATGTATGTTTCTATGGCAACCTCATTCCCATTGGCTGCGGATGAGTCTGTTTGTTTCCTTTTTATCCCCCATCATACAGAATTGTCTTGCAAGTTGTCATGGTTACTTTCATTGAATGAGATTTCCTCTAAAAAAAGGAAATCTCTTATCTGTATTTCTACTGTTTGTTTCATTACTCTGAATACTGCACAAATAGGATTTTAAGAGGGTTTACACTCACTGTGGCAGAGGCAGCAACAATGCTTCCAATTCCAACTACCTCAAAATGATAGAAGGCATACAGCAGATCTTTATACAGCATAGTTTTGCAGCCATATTGTAGGCTTCATATATGGAGCCAATTGCATAATTGCAAAATTAACAGTCAATTTTCTTCTCAAGCTATGAAGCTTTTCACTCAATTCAAAACCTCTGAATTTACATTTGAATATGAATAGACTTATTCTTGCCTCTGACAAACAAGACATGATCCCCTCCAGTAACAAGTATATTAGTTATGAAGAACGTACTTACTGTACAGCGCTAATGGCAGCACTTACACTTGGGGCAAAAGAGAGATTTGGACTTGAAATGCAGGCATTTTATGGGCCCAGGCTGCTCCTCTATCCATCTCTGTACGCTGCAGAGAACAGAGAATGGGGCTTTTATTCTACAGAATCAAACCTGAACCATTACAGAATCTGGTGGAAAATACAAAGTAACAGGGCATGTTTTCAGGAGCATGCTGGGAGGCTGTCATGGAGGAAGGACTAAAAGTGATCACAGACAGGCAGGTTTCTCCTGTGGTACGTGTACCAGCCTCCGCCGCCGCTGCTGTAAGGGGGCCACAGTGCACAGACGGAAGCATCAGTCAGAGGAAGGCGTGGGACGCCAGATCACATCAGTCCCCTGCAAAATGCCGGCCATTTGGACTTTGGCAGAGAGATCAACATTTGGTAAACGCACACACATCCACACACACACACACACACACAAAAAGATGCACTACTCACCATCCTCCCACACACATGCATGCCTAACCCCCCAGGCCCCCAACAAACACACATACATACACACACGCATGCATAGGCACACACCTGCACAAATGCAAAAACATGCACACACTCCTGCTTGCATGCACACAAATGCAAATGCATAGACACAGACACATGCACATGCAAAAATAGAACAAACACATGCATACACAAATGCAAGCTGTATCACCACGCTGTCCATCCCAATCACCATCTTATCAGGACCTGTCTTCCTGGCCACAATGACCCAGACTCCACACCCACATCCTGTGCGCTCAGGACGAAATATCACGTCTCCCTGTGCTATTACCAACCACCCTCGCAAGGAGAGCCATTGCTGCCCTCATTACCACTTAATAATGGTCAAGCAGACACAGAGGAGATTACTGGTGGCTGCCACTTTGAAAAGCCAATGGAAGATCAAACAGAGACCTTTTTATCATCATGGAGAGGACACACTGTTGACATACCTTTCCTCCTGGTCTGTCTATGCAGCTCCAATTGCTATTTAACCAAAAGAGCTCTGGCGAGGAACTCTCGGTTCAGTAACGCAGGAAATGTCGTTGTAAACCCTAGTGAGCTGCAATCTCTGCCGTCTCAGTTTCAAACAGCGTATCTGTATTTGTCATGGCTATGAAGGAACATCTCCTGTTGACTTTCCAGGCATGTCAGCAGTTTCTATGGGATAGATTATTATTGACAAACCACTACAGGACCACAGTTCCCACAATTCTTTGCAGAAACTCAATGCTTGACAGATGAACTTTTGATTTTACAGTTTTTCTAGATTGGATGGTTGCATTCTTAGAACAACAAAACTATTACAACAAAACGATGTTTCTGACTATGCATCTAAACAGTTGAGAAAAATTATATGTGAACCAGGACCTCAAAGTCCACAGATATCCTTCTGCAAGTGATGAGACATTTCATGACCTTAACTGACTATTTGATTTTGGCTTTCACTATTAGAGGGTAACTGATCTATCTCCTCTATCCTCTGATCCAAAACAGATGATTCAAAGAAAATAGATGTCCAACATCGACCCCTTACAACCCAAAAGACACAAATTGCGGCCATATAAGCTTACCTCATTCTCCACTGAATAGAGTGATCATTTGTCCACAGCCATTTCAGGATATAGAAACATCTTTTTATATTTTCTATGTGCCAGACACAAGGGTGTTACAAGGTTTAATCAGATACATGTCTCTCTCAGCTCAGCTGGCCGTGTAGATGACAAGAACAAATCTGATGATTATTGAAGGCAGTTTTTCATCAGAAAAGTAACTGAAATATAAACTGATTTATTGTTAAAGCTACTTTATTTCAATAATTTAAAACACATATAGATATTTATTGTGTTCTATTAACTTTTATGTCATTATTTATGTAAATAGTTATTTATTGTTGTTATCTAGCTATAAGATATATATATATAAGATAAGCTATACTATCAGTATCTGTAGAGATACATGAGCTGATACATTTGTGTGTGGAGAGGCATTCTAACACGAAAGAATTATCGTACCTCATATAAAATGGCATATCAAATTCCTCACATCATGGTCAGAGCTACTAATGTAATTTTCAATTACACAGATTAGTTGTGAACAAAACAACACATGGCATGTGTAGATAGCTTTTACAGATCCTGAGTAATCCGGCTAAAACTAAAAGTGGAGTCCTGAATGTCCAAAAATAGGGCAGGGTGCATAGGGTTAAAACCAACAGAAAAAGTTGTTGATTTGTAACTAAACTGCGAAAAGGAAATGCTTCCTAATGCTTGGCCGACATTGGCTGTTGTTCTGACACCCTGTTGAATATCGGTAACAATTTCTCAACTGTTTTTGCAGAGTCGACAATGCTGGTCCTTCTCGTCTCCCCCCCATCAGCTCCTGTGCGGTAGACTGGTTTCATTAACTCTGTTTCAGAGGAGGCTGATAGCTCTCAATGAAATTAATTTTGAGGCTCCGCCATGTCGCCTATCAGGATTTGTCTTTTTTTTTTTTGCTGAAGCCCTTGTCTTCCATTTAATTGGGAAGAGATCAAATATCCCAGAGCTGCTCTCTGCTGAGAGTTTTAATTTACCTCTTTGGGCAGCCACACCGTGTTAATAGACAAGTATATCACTGCCTTAAATAAGTTAGTCTATTGTGTTGGAACACTGGAGAATTATTTAAGTCCATGCAGAGGGGTTCTACCTCCACGGATTGACAGGAATTTCATTTGAAAAATTTATAACCTGATGGAAAAAAGGAAGCGCTTGCTACTTTAATTGTGCGTAACTCACTCAGTTCTAATTAATATGCACAGTTACATTGTCTGTGATCTATGAATGAGCTGAACAGTTGACAGAAGTAAAGTCAGGAAATTAAAAAAAAAAAAAAAAAAGTAGTCTGTGCATGGATTTGTAATAGTAACCGTTTACCAGCATCCCATGCACACAGTAAAAGCACTTTAGCTATAGACTTGCATTGCCAGCTCAGACATCAGTGGAGGCAAAAGAAACACTATTACATTACTTTATGGTCATTTCACAGATGCTCTTATCCAGAGCAATTTACATGTGTTTCAATTTTTACGTGTTGTCCATTTATACAGCTTGATATTTACTGAGGCAATTCTGGGTTGCCTTGCCAAACTCTGTAGCAGCAGTGCCCTAGCAGGGAATTAAACCAACAACCTTTCGGTTACAAGCCCTGCTCCCTATCACTATGCTACACTGCCACACTCATAAAGCCTGTTTCTGCCCAGTTTCAGGCTGGAAACCTTGCATGTGTGAGGTGAATGTGATAACTACCACACTACGGATTCTAAGTTATGTTCACTGTTGACAGTGAATACCAGATCATTTTGGTTTGTTTCAGGTAAATAATGAAATGAAAAGGACGGTTGCCATATTTCATTAAGACAGCGTCTGGGTGTCCCGCTCTTGTTGGATGTTTCACTTCTGTAGGTTTGTAAAAAAAATAAATAAATAAATAAAATGGGAGGGTGTCTTCAGGAAGACTTCAAGAAGAAGACAAAGAAGAACAAAAAGTATAGCAAGCGAGAATAGAGACAAATTGGCATAAGCAGTGCACACAGGTTTCAGACTTATTACCATGCAGGAAATTCTAATGAAAAGGTATTGATCAGCCCCCCTGCCCTACACCCAGCCCTCTTAATTGAGGACTTTGGGTTTGCAGGTTTATTTGCTTTTCATTAGTACTCCATTTCAGTCTCATAATTAGTCCTATAATTACTGCTTTCTTTGAGGGGGAGTTTGCTTGGTCAGCTTTCTTTATCAACAGTGAAGAGCCCTTTGATAGGTAATGGATGGTGTGACACAGTGGGACTAATCTGCCCAGAGTAATTGAGTCTGATAGCGATCTGGGGCGACGTTGAAAGGTTTCGGTTTATTCCCAGCTTTTGCTTCGGCGTGAATGACTGGCGGTGCATTGTTATTTTAGTCATGGTGTTGGCTCATCGAGTCCAGCTGACAGCTTTTCAATAAAGACTCTATCTCTCTCCAACAAAAAAAATGCTAACAGGAAAATATGAGTTTTAGGATTAGGTTATCAGGATAAGTTGTATAAGATACATTTTCCTAATTTGTGGTATGTTATGGATATTTCTAGCCACAAATAAAAAAAGATTTTATTTCTTATGTCAGACGGAATAAAGTGATTTTTTAAGAATATTTCAGTTTAAAATATTTATGAATGCCCCAAATTTTAATCATCTCACAATCTATGGTGCTCCCCCAATGAGGCTACCTTTCAAGTGTTACTTTTTCTTTGCACAAAAAGATGGAAAGTTATTCGGATGAGACGTTAAACCATGGCCCCAGTC